CTCTATTGGATTTCTTTTTGCGTCTCTAACATCTAGCCTATGGTGCCTTCACCACAGTGGAAACTCAATACATTTTTCTCCCACATTTATTTATTTTATTTTTAGTTTATGGAATAAAACAAGCATTTCCATAACATAGTATAATAAAAAGATGATTGCACATGAAATAAATATTGATGTCCATCGATGGTCATAATCATTTCCTGATGATCAGAGATCATCATGGAAGGGGTTTTTGAGGAGGTTGCCCAGTGGCTGTTGCCCTCCCTCTTTCAGAAGTGGAAAATCTGGGGCCATATTAGTGAGATGGTAAGAGGGTTTGCATTTGGAGTACCCACCCTGGCTTTGTTCCTCCCTACTTGTGTGACCTTGGCCAAGACTGATCTTACGTTGCCTCTCTGGGGCCCCAGTTTACTTATTTGTAAAAACATGAGGTTAGACCAGATGATGTATGAGGTCCCTTGCATCTCTAGAGTGATGGGTCTATGCAATCAGTTGAGGGTAAGTGATTCTGTTGAGGTGGACTCCATTGGAGCTTGGATTCCTGGAAGTCTTCTCTCACAGCCAGCTGCCATCCCCATCAGGTTGCCTGGAGCCTCTCAAGAGTTCAGTGAGCATGGAGGAAAGTATCTCGGAGAGGCCTGCTCTTTAGAGTGCAATATTGAGTTCTTTCATTCCCTGGCACTACGAAAAATAGTATCTCTCCCATTTGAAGGTTTTGCTACTGAAGACCAATAGAAAAAAAGAGGAAAATTTAAGCTTGAGACCAGGAAAATCTTCCTAGCAATTTGAGTTGCCTCAGAGTGACATGGACTGCCTACAGAGGCAGAGTTCTTCCCTTCTTGCTGTTGTTATTCAGTCGTTTCAGTCATTTCTGACTCTCCATGACCCCATCTGGAGTTTCTTTGGCAAAGACACTGGAGTAGTTTGTCATTTCCTTCTGTAGCTCATTTTACAGAGGAGAAAACTGAGGCACACAGGGTGAAGTGACTTGCCCAGGGTCACACAGCTAGTAAGTGTCTGAGACTAGATTTGAACGCAGATAGAGGAATCTTCCTGACTCTAGGCCGGCTACTCTATCCACTGCACCACCTAGCTAACCTTTCCTTCCCTGGAAGGCTTTAAACAATGTCTGGGTGACTATATGTTGGGCCTGTTCTAGGACACATTTTCTGAGACCTTTGGGATCCTGTTCAGGGATAGGTTAGACTAGATGGCCAGTAGGGTTTCTTCCACCTCCAGATTCTGTGAGATTCCATGACTCGATCCCAAAGATTATAAAGACATCAGGGCAGCTCTTGGGTTGGGTGAACTTCCCAGGGTCCTCCAGAAAGTTCAGCCATCCCCATGAGCTACTCTGCTGTCTTTATAAACTTGGGGTATAAGAGTCATAGAATCTCACAGAATCTGCAGTTGGAATAAACTTTATCTAGTCCCACCTGTCCCCTAACAGGGTCCCATAGGTCTTGGAAAATGGGTCCCAGAACTGGCCCAAGATGGCGTCCAGCCATTGTTTGAAGCCTTCCAGGGAAGGAGAGGTACACTTGGCCCAGGCCAGTGGGAGATGATGAGATCTGAGGTCACAGAATGTCAGAACTGGAACAGGCCACGGAGCTGAGATCTCTCACTTTTTTCACAGACAAGAATCTTTTTGGATATCAATAGTAATGAAAACTAACTTTTATATAAGGCTTTAAGTGTAGTAAGTGCTGTATATTACCTTATTTTAACTTTGCAATAACTCCATGGATTATAATGATGGGCATTATTATTCTCCCCTCCCCCCCCATTTTATAGGTTAGGAAACCAAGACTGAGTGGTTAAGTGACTTTTCCAAGGTAATACAACTAGTAAGCCTTAGGAGCAGAATTTGAATTCCAGACTTTACTTCATGACCAACACTCTGGACAGCAAGTAGTGATAGTTAAAATTATTATCCTCATTTCTCAGATGAGTAAACTGATGTTCAGAGAGATTAGGAGTCTTGTTCAAAGTCATACAGCTAATATGTCACAAGGCCACCTCTTGAATCCTTTTTTCTTGGTTCCAAACCCAGGCTTTTTCTTAGGCATCATACAATCTGTATAAATCCTCACTCCCTGTCTCTTTGAAGCTCATGGAGTAGTGAGTTTCAGGGAAATAAAAATGTTTCCTGAAATGTTTAGTGGTTAAGACATTTAAGAACATGTTAATGAAAAAGAGCCCCTTGCCTTCTTCATTAGTATGAACTCCCAGGTGAGGCAAGTCTCTCCACCAGTGTAGGTCAGCACTTTCTTTGCAATTTGTAATCTAAGTGAGCTTCCTAGAGCAGAGGAGTCAAACCCAAAGCCTGCAAAACTCTAGGGCCTGGAAAACCTGATTAAAATGTAATTGAGCAATGTTTAACAAAATAAAAATAAATAAAAAACAAAATAAAAAATACAATGTGGTTTATATAATGTTAATATGTGGTTACTTCCTATTTGAGTTTAATACCAATGACCTAAGGGATTAAATGACTTACCCAGGGTCACGCGGCTAAAAGGGTAACTTGAACCTAGCTGAGGCTAGCTGTGCCTGTCTTCTGTGCCTTCCCATCTAGTTAAAAAGGCACAGAGACTTCCCCCCAACCCCAGCCATAGCCCTGCACTTTCAGAGGCAGAAAGACGAGCACTCTAGATTATGACAGGTTGGCAGAACTCCCAAGTTTGGATTTGTTCCCGAAATCCGAGCTCTGTCTTGAGGCTGCGGCGGCCTTTAGGGGGAGGGAGCTGCTTGACTGGCGCTGAGCGAGTCACTGAGGCTCTGCTGAGGAGGTCCCTGGGCATCAGGGTTCCTAGATTGGCGTCTCTGTGCCTTTCTTCTCAGGTGAGTTTGACCTTGACGAGTCATTGCAGGCTCTCTCTGACCAGAGGAAGTCAAAGCTCGGTCGCTGGAAAGCTTCCTGTCCTCTCCCTAACCAGGCTGGCTCCGGGCAGTGTATGGTGGGGGAATGCTCTGGAATGGGAGCCAGAGGACCTGAGTTCAAATCCTGTTCTGCCACTTAGTACCAGTGGAATTCTTGTCAAATCACTTGAACTCTCTATGCCTCAGTTTCCTCATTGGCAAAAAGGGGTGGAAGGAGGAAGGATAGTGAATGATGGGAGAAAAAGAAGAGGACAATGGTAGAAAGATCCCTGAATTTGGAGTCAGAGGATTATAGATTGAGAGCCGGAAAGAACAACAGAGGCCATCTAGCCCACACCTTCATTTTACAGAGGAGGAAACTGAGGCACATGGAGTTTAAGTCACCCAGGTAGGATCAAAGGATCAGAGACTTTGTGCAGAAAAGAACTTAGAGGTCATCCAGTCCAGAGAGGTCAAACTCTTGGCTCTACAAAACTTCCTAGTGCAGGCAGAATCAGACGGAAATGTAATTAGGAAATGTTTAATACAATCAACACCAATACAATGCAACACAGATGTTATTAATTTGTGGTTTTCTAAATCCATCTGTAGTATGTAGGGATCCTTTGAGGTGGACCCCACTGGTCTAGTCCAACCCTTCATTTTTCTGAGGAAGAGAACCCAGAGAGAGGTTGAGCAGGGTGCTCGATTTAGAGCTAGAAGGTTATTTAGAGGTCAGCTAGCTGACCTCTTCATTTTACATTTTACAAAAAAAGGAAACTGAGTCCCAGAGAAGTAAAGCAATTTGCTTGAAGTCCCATAGGTAGTAAGCTGCAGAGCCAGGTCTTTTGACTCTGAATTCATTGTTCTTCAAAGTTAACCATGTTATCTCTAAATTCTCCAGGCATTTGGGTTTTCTGATCTTCCTCACCTCCCAGATTCCCCCCATCCCATTTTATAGATGAGGAAACTGAAGCCAAAAGAGGTTAAGGGATTTGTCACACACACACAGAATAGTGGGCTGAGGCGGGATTTGAACCCAAATCCTTGGCTTAGGGTCCGAGGAAGCTGGGCATAATTGAAAAATGAAACAGGCAGCCTCCCCTCCTTGGATAGCTTCCAGCAGGAGCTGGTGGACCGCTCATTGGGCGTGGTACGATAACAACAACAAATAGTAGCATGTCTGTAGCACTTTAAGGTCATTTCATTTGATCCTCCTAATATCCCTGGGAGGCAGGTTTATTGTTTACCCCGTTTTATAGATGAAGAAACTGAGTCACAGAGAGGTTAAGTGACTTGACCACAGTCACATAGGAACAAGAATTGTAAGTGCCTGAGGCAAGATTTAACCTCAGATCTTTTTGATTCTAAGTCCAATTATATATATATATGTGTGTATATATATATATATATATTTATATGTATAGTAGGAATTACTAAGTCCAAGAACACTATATGTATGGTGGGGATTGCTTGGTCTAAGTGACTGCCAAGTTCCAGTTTTCAAATTCTGTGATTCTTTGAGTAACAGTAGACACAGTGTGGGTGTGGTTTTTGAAATGCTTTTGAGTTCTTCAGATGAAAGCTCCCGCATAAATACAGTCATATTATGCTGTTGAAACTAGAGTGGGGGTGACTTGTCCGCTCCCTCCAGCCTTATCAAAGCCAGGGAAAGGCGATAGGTGAGAGAACTCTTAAGAGACTCATTCTCTATGGCCCCTTGCCCAGCTCAGCTTCTTAAAGCATCTTGCTTGTATTGGGAGGTGGATGTCTTAAAACCAGTGAGAGGCATGAAGAGGAGATTGTTTTCCTGGCAGGTCACTTGACACTAACGTTCTATCTAAGGAAAGCTTGTCCATGAAACTTTCCCGAGGCCTTTGTTTTCATGGGTCTTGAACCAGGAAACCAGATCTACATCATTCCCACACAGTTTCAGTGCTGTACACTTTTGTAGCTGGACTCTGATTTAACTACTCATCGCTAGTCATTAGCTTGAATAAGTGGATTCCTTGATACCAGCCATAGAGAGCGCCATCTTGGTTTGGAACTCAAGAAGTTTTCATTGTGGCCAGAGATAAGAATAGACTCTTGGCTCAGAGCCCTCAATAATGGCTTAATTGTTTGTTTCTTTTTAGTTGACCATGTTGTTCCTGAGCCCGGGACCAGCCTGCTGACAGCCTTCGACCAGTGGAGAGAATGGGCAGACAGCAAGTCTTGCTGTGACTACTCTTTGCATGTGGATATCACAGAGTGGCATAAGGGAATCCAGGAGGAGATGGAAACACTGGTGAAGGACCATGGTAGGTTGGCAGTGACATGTCACCCTTGTGGAGAAGGTCATTCTAGGACCTCTGTTTTTATTTATCATGGCGGGTGACATTTATATATGTATGTTCAGTTGAGTTCAACTCAACTCAACAAACAAACAGTCAATCAACAAGCATTTATTAAACACCTACTACTGGCCAGGCACTGTGATAGGTGCTGGGGATACAAATACAAAGAATGGAACAGTTCTTGCCCTCACAGAGCTTACATTTTAATCATTTGCTGTGTTACCCCACCCACTCACCCCTGGGTCCTAGGGATACAAGGACAAAAATGAGTTAGTCTGTGCTTTCAAAATGCTTGTTTTCCACTTGGGTTTGGGGGATTTGTACACAGATGAGTGAGTACAATGTATCTGCCAAGTTAATTTAAAATGATTTTGGGGTAGGGGAAGATGGACTTAGGCTATCAGGAGGAGATGGCATTTGAGCTGAGCTTTGAATCATCTCCTCCACTGTGTTCCTCCTTGGATGCCCTTTACTAGTGTGCTGGTGAACCTGACTTCTCCCCAGCTGGCCTTCTTGTCACCCAGGTTTGTAACCTTGGCATTATCCTTGGATCCTCCCAATGCCTCACCTGATAGACCCAATCAGAAGGTGTCTTGCCAATTTCCCCTGAAAACATCTCCCATCATCCCCTTCTCTCTAGTCACATAATCACCACCCTAGGTTGGGTCCTAATCACCTTTTACCTGGGATGTTGCCATGGCTTTGTAGTTGACCTCCTGGCTTCAAGCCCGTCCCTAATCCATCCTCCATACAGCTGCCATATTGATTTTTCCTAAACACAAATTGGACTACATTACATTTCCTCCCCCTCAATAAACTTTAGAGGTTCCCTAGAATCCCTAGGATCAAATATAAACTCTTCAGGCATTCCAAGCCCTTCACAAACTGACCCCAAACCCCGCTATTCAGCCTTGGTGCTTCTCCTCACACCCACTTTGATCCTTTCCATTGCTTACACAAACACATCATTCCATCACACAGTTCAGTATTACGAGGAGCCAGAGAGAGGATGTCTCCAGTGAAGTGCTTTATAAGCCGTAAGCACTGTCCTTCCTAGAAGCATTAGTATTTCCTGGGGATGCCATGTTATCTGAACTTGACTCAAACCTCCATTACTTGTGGCCCTGGGTTTCTGGGACACAAATCCCAAGAATTTTCTGAAGCCCCTGCTGAGAAGACTCTGGTGGGAAGGGGTAGAGATTTTGGCACCCATGCAAGGGTGCTTTTTTGCTCCTTAGTTCCTAGCTTCCTTGCTAGAGATACTAGTCTGGTTGTGCTGGTGTATATTTGAGTAAATGTTTAACCACCTGCTCTCAGGGGGAAAAAGTATGTATGACATAACTTTCATGTTTAATCTAAGCATTATTAACATTTTCACCATCACTTTCCCAAGTCTAGCTAATCAACAAAATAAACAACGGTCAGATTTGCAATATTTGCCCATTTCCAAGGTATAAATATTTGCAATGGAAATTTAACAACCAACTTTTGGGATCTAGTGTGAGCTGGCTTTAGCACAGCCCTGAGTCACATCTGTACATACTACAGTCACGTCTGACCAGATCAGAGCAGATTCTATTCTCTGAGCTGACAGACTTATTTTTTATAAGCATCTCTTAAAAGTTAGTGTGGGCTGATTCTCAAGGCAACTTTGTATCATCATGGATAGAGTGCTGGAGGTTGAGTTAAGAAGACCTGAGTTCAAATGTTGCCTCAGATACTGTCTTTGTGACCCTAGACAGGTCACTTCACTTCTTGTCCTTATTATCCACTTTGTAAAATGGGGATAATAATAGCATCTAACATCCCAGGGTGGTTGTGAGGGTCAAAGGTGATAACGTATGCAAAGCTCAAAGAAATACTAATGAGTGTTGTTATATATTGGGAAAGGAAGATAATCTAAAAACAAAAGATAGCAGCAAAAACTTAAAAATAATTAAACAATGAGTAAAATTGAAAAAAACAAATCAGTGTAGACTGGATGAAGGGAGGGAGGCTGGGTGCTGAAGAGAGAAGCATCTTGTCAGCCCAGCAGTCAGTCAATCCATCAGCAAACCTTTGTTGCCCTATGAAGGCAGCGTGTCTTCCAGAGTCCTTCCCTCACTAAGGACAGCTGTCCTTTCCCCCCCTCTGCCTTGTTTGATTTGTCTGACAGTTTCTTCCACTTGTTTCTCTCTCCCTCCACCAGGCGTCAACTCCTTCTTAGTGTACATGGCCTTCAAAGATCGCTTCCAGCTCACAGATTCCCAGGTAGGAATCCGTCATGTTGTCTCCAAAGAGACTCAGCAATACTTAACAACCTTCATTTTCTTTTCTTTCTTTCTTTCTTTCTCTTTCTTTCTTTCTTTCTTTCTTTCTTTCTTTCTTTCTTTCTTTCT